TTTTTTCTTTTGGAAAGACTCAACCAGCATACCAGCTGCTCCTCCACCTGCTGCCTGTTCCCAGAGAAAAGCCAAGCTCTGCTGTAGACTTCAAACAATAAAGCTACAAGTACATAAAACCCAGACTCAAAGCTTTTTACAGCCACAATGGGACAGCACTGATCTAACATTAACTGATTTAACTGTAATGATTGGTGAGGTTGTCGATGCACTGCATGGAGCTCTAACAGAATCAGATCCTATTGAAAGATTCGTCTATGTTGAAGAGCAGAACTCACTGTCAGTAAAGAGATCGGACACATTTTTCAGGTTCTGCGGGCAATTACATAATATCAGTAATAAGCAAAAACTGACAGGACAGGGATGATGACAGACAGACACTTATCCTTCTCTCCTCCATCCTTGGACTCAGCCTGGGACTCCTTGGTGTGTTTATCTGTAAAACCAGCAGAGCAGAAACAGGTGTGAGAACTGAGCTACCAGGAAAACCTTTCCTGTTTTCAGCAGAAGTGATGTCACACCTTTCAGCAGTCACCTGGATGTCAGAAAAGCAGTAATGACATTATGTGCAGGCATTTGGTTAAGAACTAGAATCTCAGCGTTTCACACCATTTTCACCCATAAACACATCCAGCAGAAGAAGAAGAGAAATAAAGAATTAATTAGGGTTAGAGCGCCCTCACTGCAGAGGTTATCATTTCTATTTTCTCTCTCAGACTCCTGCATCGGCATTAATTAATGACTGACGCCACTTTTCATCTCATACATTCGTTTTTGGTAACAGAGACAAACATGAGCCTAAAGACAAACAAACCAACGGACTTTGCCCTGAATGACAGAACCTTTGATGCTCAGACATCCCACAGTGAGAAGACTTATAAACACCAAGTTCCACCTCTACAAACTTACCTGAGGTTGTGACTTTGAGGCTGATGGAGCACTCATGGACGACACTTTCTGTTTCCTTGGTTGTAATCTGACACTTGTACGTTCCTGTATCGGTGAGCTTGACGTTCCTCAGCGTCACTGAAACATTTCCATCCTTCATGGACGGATCCATCAGGTTCACTCGGCCTTTGAAGGACTCATGTTGGTAGTTTTCATATGGGCGCTGGTTTCTGTACAAGAAGACATAATCATCTGATTTGAGGTCAGCTCTGTTCCACTCCAACAGGGTGATCTCTGCATCTCTGGGACCCTGACACTGAAGAGGGGCATCTTGTCCAGGATTCACAATGAGCTCTGTGTGTTTGAAACACAAAGATAAAAGACAACAAAATTAGTCATGTTTAAGACTGCACATCTGTCAGACATGCTATGCTGAAGAACCGGTTGGACTTCCTCTCTATAGTTTGTTCTTCCAGAAGATGAGCCCATCCAGAGACTTCTGACAGGAACCGTTTGGACTGCAGGGAGTACTGAAATGAAGAAATCTAAAAGAGCATCAGTGTGTTTTAGTATTAATGTAATGATCACCTGCTCCTCTGCAAGCCTCAAAATTTTTGCGACTTGTGCCAGCATGTTGTTTGAATGTCCACAGAGTACATCAAAGAACATGGGACAGAATTTGTTTTTGTCTGTTAAACTCTGAATTTTACTCCAGTTGTTATAAAACATTGTGAAACAATGATAGACACGGCTCATGTACAGCTTTAGCTTCTTTTTTTTTCCCACTGTAAAAATAGAAATCACCCCAATTCCGACTTATTCAGGAAAGCACCCCACACGGAGCAGGGTCCACAATGTGCCTGGCAGATGTCAGAGCGCAGGTGTTTACCAGAACAGACGAACCCTCTATTGTTAAATAAAACACTAACACTAATAGATAAGATAAGCTAAAGCATCGATGCCAGATCAGTACCACCCCCAACCAAAAACCCGATGATTGTCTGACTGGGTTGTACGTGTGGTCATGTTAAATAGCGCAAAATAACCCTATGTTCTGCAACACTCCCAAATGAAACTGTAACTACGACATCTGCGTCACATGTCCTCTAGGCCGCTGCAAAGACAGGGGGGTAACTGTTTAGCTTCCCGTTTTCACATCGGACTTACTTCCTCTAATAACTCGCTGAAAAGTTTCCCGTTTAGACCAAAACACACCAGCAGTTCGTTTTAACTTGTAAACACACGATGACGCTAATGTTCACATTTTTTCCTCTTCCTGTCTCCAAGAACCGTGACTCACCTTTTAATCCGGAAACCAGGATCACCAGCAAACACAGGAAAACCGCAACGGACAACATTTGTGAGGAAAAACTGAACAGCTGATGTTTATTTTGGAAACGAATAAGTGTTTTTGTTTTCCTTTTTTGGGTGGGGGTGGGTGACGTGTTCGACACGTGACAGATTATGAGCCGTTTAAATGCGCTGCTTGATCGGCGCTGTCGTTTTTGCAGCTGAGCGCTACAGCGCTGAAACTGCAAACATCAAGGTTACTCGCTGCCCCGCAGTCCGAATCACGCGAAGATCAGACAGGAGGAATGGACTTCGGTCACAATCCGAGCTGTGAGGGTCAAACAAAATGAGAACCAAACTTAAAACATGTTTCAGATGTTCTGACATCGGGAAGTTCCTGCAGACATTTTGCGCCACTGGAACTCTGTGTCTGCGATTTCAGTCAACAAGACAAATAACGGATGTAACGGCGACTCTCCCAGATTCGTGTTAACCCGAAACTCTTGAACACACCACATAAACAGAACCTCCCACTCTGAATAGACTCTCTGACAGTCCCGTTCATCAGTCGTTACAGCAGGCTTTACCTACAGTGAACAACGCGTTGGCTCACAATAGAAAAGCTACAGCTGTTTTAAACTGGAAACAGTGCGAAATAACAAACACGCAACATGCTGCTGCCATGATGTGGTGCTGCATACAGGTGCACGTAAAAAAAAAAAAAGGAAATTTTGACTTTGGAAGCAGCTGAAAGTAGCCCGTGTCTGAAGCATTAAACTAAGTTACACTCATCAAGTCACTTTCTTTGGGGGATCCGCTCCTTTCAGGCCATGTTTTCGGGATTTCCCTCGAGCAGCAGCTCAGCTCTACCTCTCAAGTCGCCAGAATAGAAACTCCACAGAGAAAAAAACCCCTCAAAGCTCATCTTCAGCGGAAAAAAATAAAAACAAGAAGCTGTGAGCCAAGACCGACAGCATCAGACTCCTCCAGACTGGCTTGTCTTGCTGTCAGCACAGCACTGTCGTCCAGTCGCCAGCTGTATGAATGAAATGCAGCCTCTTCTGCTTTTGGCAGCTTAGAGGTGGATTACCGCCACCTAACGGACTGGAGCATAGATCGGACATGCGCATGCTCACTCATTTCACTCTTTTCAATTAAACTTTATTAACACAATGACGTTCTCAGGGGGTTAAAACTATATTTTATTTGTGATATGGAACTAAAAAGGGAGGCATATACCCAAGAAAGTACGGGTATAACTAAAAATAAATGTTACAAAGAAAAAATAATTAAATTTAAAAAAGAAGTTTTTTATAACTCTGATTATTTGTGTTTGTGTCTCAGAAATCCAAAGAAACAGGAGATTTCCTCCATAAGAAACATTTTAAGGTTAAAATGTGATTTTAATTGGAAGGAGCCTTTGTTTTTGATTGTGACCCACACCCGTTTTCACACCTTGGCTAATGTGATTAGTTAGAAGATCATCAGGGGGTCCTTTGTCCCTCTTTGGGGGGAAACTCCCACTGGGTTTGAATCTGGGACTCTCCACCATTTGACCTTAGACCTGAAGAAGCTTCTCGGATGAGAGGTGAAACGTCTTCAAGCAACTTAAAGAAGTCCAGATGCTTTCCAAGCTCCTTAGAATATTTAATCATTGTTTAAATATAACAGACGGACCCTCAACATCACTTTTCTATGATTAAAAAAAATCAGGTTACCAACCCTACTGATGTTTTTCATTGTTTCTTGTTCGTAGCTTTATTAAATTTCACAATTCACGTCTCATTTATAACCTAAAAGATTATAACCCCTTGTTTTTTCTGACCTGCTACAAATAAACCACAGACTCTAAATTGTGCTGCTAAGAGGAAGGAGGCGGGTTTAACTGCCTGGGGGGAAACAGAAAGATCTCACACCTCTGTGTGGTACGATGGGAAAAGTACCTCTTCTGTGGCTGCTCCGTAAGTACCTCATGCTTTAAAAAAAAAAAAAAATAATAATCTTAATATGTGCATTGAAGGGATTCTGGATGGGAACAGCAGTGAGATAAAGCAGATATATTTGCATTTACTTAAGTATAGAAGTTAATGACCATGAGGGAAAGAGTGACAAAACTCTTAAAAAGAAAATGAAACTTTAAGTACAATGAAAAAAGAAATACTAGTGACTATCTGAGGTGTTTTAATTCAGCTGGTTCTGTCATTAGCAGGAGGTTTTAACAGGTTCAGAGGTTTCTTTCCTTAAATTCATTGAAATTCTGAGTAAACCACCACGGTGTTAAATGGTAAAATGGTAAATGGCCTGTATTTGTATAGCGCTTTTCTAGTCCCTAAGGACCCCAAAGCGCCCCAAAGCACATCCAGTCATCCACCCGTTCACACACACATTCACACACTGGTGATGGCAAGCTACATTGTAGCCACAGCCACCCTGGGGCGCACTGACAGAGGTGTTAAACTGCATCTTCACATTCTGTTCAAAGGAATTGTTTTGAGTTCATCGGTCTGAGACTCAGTTTGTGGTCACTGCTCCTGTAAGCAAAAACTCACTAAAATACACTGAATACTTATGATCTTGTGCTTTCTTTTCAGTTCTAATGTCATTGCTCTGCCACACAACAAATCAAGGTTAGTGAACCTGTTTATGACAGAATAACACAAAGAACAATTAAGCAGATCCAAAGAGCATCTCTGACCAATAAAAGACAGATTAGTCCCAGATGTGTGTGTTAGGGGAAGCTCAGAATTAAAAACAACAAAAATTAAAAATCCAGTAAAACTCCAATTATTCTTTAAAAAATGTGGTTCAGTTTAATATTTGAGTAAAAACCAGTGGTTTAGACTAGTTAAAGATAACACCACTAAAATACAGTCAGTTCCTTATTTTGTGTGTGTACGTAGAGAACCATCACCAGAAGGTTCAAGTCAAAGGAAGGTCCATGCTGCTGTTCATACTGTCTGTTTAGGACATGCAGCCAATCAGAAAAAAAGAGTACTGTGGAGATAATTTGTGATCTTTCAAACAGATAATGAACTTAGGAGCTACATCAAGGCAGCAACATCTACCAACCAGCTTTAGTTTATGACATGCACAGAGTGCGCATTATCTGTTGAATAAGCTTCAGTTCACCTCAAATACACAATTTTTAAAAAAGTTTTTTGTTCAAGATACAATAAATTCTCCCACAGCTCGTCTGACTGTGAGTCCCAGCAGCTTTCAATTCCTCAAAGGAGACTTTGTGTGTCTGAGCTGTGAGGAGGACGACAGCTCTGCTGGATGGACTCTGAGGAGAAACACAAGCAAAGAAGCCAGAGCTGAATGTGAGGAGTGGGGAAAACCAGCTGGTTCTTCCTGTAACATCAGTGGCATCCTCCCACGCGACAGTGGAGTTTACTGGTGTGAGTCCAGAGAGGGTCCCATCAGTAACATGGTTAACCTGACAGTCGCTGGTAAGCTGAGTGTGTGGAGTTAGTGTTGATGAAGCTGTGTGTAAATGGATGAAATGCTGTAGTTTGTCTCTGTGTTGAGGTGGATCAGTGATCCTGCAGAGTCCTGTCCTCCCTGTGATGGAGGGAGATGACGTCACTCTGCTCTGTAAAACAAAGACCACTCCCTCCAACCTCCCAGCTGCTTTCTATAAAGATGGCTCCCTCATCAGGAAGCAGCCTACAGGTCACATGACCATCCAGCATGTTTCCAGGTCTGATGAAGGCCTCTACAAGTGTGACATCAGCGGTCATGGAGAGTCTCCATCCAGCTGGATCACTGTCACAGGTGAGGCTTCTGTTTATTTTACAGATTTTAGACCAAAATTGACTCAAAGGGACCACAAAGATTTATTTTATTCCAGGTTCTTCCACCTCTCCTCCTCCATCAGCCTCCACTGCCTCCCTCTCCTCCTCATTTTCCTCTACTCCTCAGCACTCCTCTGTTCCTCTCGCTGTGCTGGCCCTTGTTCCCTCCATAATTGGAGTGCTGCTGCTGGTTGTACTGGTTGTACAGGTGAGACGATGTGTCCAGAGGAAACCTGAAGGTGAGACACACATTCTGCCCTCACTTAACATGTAAAGGGAGAGTTCACCTCAAAATCATATTTGGTTTTCTCTGCTTAAGGCTTGAAAGGTGACTGAAAGTTAGTTTCATTTTATTGAATTAGATCAATGTGTTAGTCATACTAATCTAAGCAGAAGCAGCACTGCAAACCAAACGTATGTAGGTGTGATTATGGGGTGAATTGTTCTTTAGATACATACAAAAAAACATGATTCAAAGGAAGTGTAGCACTTCTATTTTTGTGAGGACCGATTTGAGCCACAGACCTTCACATTACTACCTGAGGGTTAAATTAAAGATAAACTACAGGCTGTATTTGTGCATCATTTTCTCCTCATGCATATGATAATAATAATTTTGTGATTTTTTTTTTTTTTTTTTTGTAAATATACTTTTACATTTGGATAGTTAGTTTAGTTAGTTTATGCTTCCTGTGTTGATTGCAATGATGTACTTTGATCTACTCAATGATGAGACTTTGTGGTCACAAGTTTTGATGTGAGTTGCTCTGCTGGCGTCCAGTTTCCTGTATTATGACTAAAAAAAGAAAAGCTTTTTTTTCCTTTTACCGCAGCTTTCAGAAAGAATTAGTTTTTTTTATTCCAGCTTTACTGACTAAAATGTTTGATTCACTTTCCATTATTCTTATAAATATTCATATTCCAGCTGTCAAACCAGCAGCAACAATAATTATTGTGTTATCAGAGGGAAATCTGTGGTATTTGCAGACAGAGATCCTGCAGCAGCTGCTACCTCCTCATCAGTGAGAAGAACTTCAGCCGATGGTCAAGACGAGTCAAACCGAAAAAGAGGTACGACAAGTTTCCTGTTAGAAATGCTTTAAAAGTCCTCTGCTCCTTCCACAAGAGGCTCCATGACGTCGATGGCTGAGATTTTTAAACATGTGCTGATTTTTCATCAGGCCAACATTTATCATTTTAAATACTTTCTATACTTTTGCTTAATACTAAATATCATATGTTAGCATACGGTGTGAGTAATCATACTGCTGGATTACAAAGCTGCTTGCACAAAGTCCACTGCACATGCTTAGAACACTGTGCTCACCTTTCTTGGTGCTCAGGCAGGTGTCCCAACACAAAAACTAAAAAACAAATGATATAAGAGGGAAAATTGAACGTATTTCTGTTTAGAGATGACTTCTCAACTGTCATGCAGAACCCCAGTCTTCTTTAAAATTGAGTTTATTTTGTTGTAACACTGGCAGTGGCATTTTCCCATTCTTTTTGATCAGCATGCTTGATTTGGAAGTAGCACTTTGAGGAGAGGAACTATAGAACATTGCAGACCAAAGAGGGTGGATGGAGGATGGTTAGTGAATCAGGAGGTGCAGAGGAAATGAAGGAGTGGAAATGCTGTTAGTCCAGATGACATACATGTGGAGATGTGTAGGAGAGAGATCAGTAGAGGTGTTGATCAACAAGCAGCCGTACGGCTTCACGCTTCCACAGAATCTTTCTTGACACAGTGTTGATGGAGAAGACAGAGGAGGTTAGACGGAGCTGGGCTGTGTTGTTGTGGCTCTAGAGAAAACATGTGATAGGTCGCCAAGAGAGGAACTGTGATACTGCATGAGCAGGTCAATATTGGCAGATAAGTATGTGAGGGTGCAGCAGGACATGTATGAGATCTGCTCTGAGCCCCTTCTTGTTTGTGATGTCACGGACAGGCTGAGGTGATGTTTGCAGATGGGATTGTGATTTATAGTGAGAGCACGGAGCAGGAAGAAGACAGGCTGGAGAGATGGAGGTGTGCTCTGGAGAGAAGATGAGTGAAAGTCAGCAGAAGCAAGACAGAATACATGTGTGTGAATGACAGGGAGGCATGAATGAGGCAGTGGCATGAACAAAAGACATGAGGCAGAACTGAAGATGTTAATTGATGATGTTAACAGCAATATAATCCCTTTAACTGCAGATAACTTAAAAAAAAAGGTTAAAAAGTAAAAAAAAAAAACCTCTTAGTTTGTCCATTTGACTGTCACAGTGTACAGAAGCTTTTATGTTTTCTGTGTACCACATGAGCACAGGGCAGCTCTATGGTGATGCTGTGCCAGTCAGGTAAAAACATTTATTTTAAATCATTTATAAGAGGGTTTCCTTTACAAGAGGTGTAAACAGTTGCATCGTTTTAACACATGAGCAGCTCTGCGGTCATTAAGTTTCCTGTTTTGAGAGCTAAACTGAACAGAGGTGTTTGATAGGTTTGTAGCTTGAACCTATTCGCTGGAACGTTGGAGACAATATAATTACACAGCAAGCAAGACACGAAGTAGGCAAAGTTCTTCTTGTTACTCATGCATGAGGGAGACCTGCCTGGAGCCAAGTGTCGTTCCACCACTTGACCTCCGTCAGACTCTCAGCCAGGTTCCCCATAGCACTCCTTTTATTGTGGTTACATGAATATTCATAGGGTCATTAACATATGACGTCTACATATGCACAAAGAGTACCTTGTGTGTGTGTGTGTGTGTGTGTGAGAGTTTGGGGTCAAGATGTGACCCTGTGAAGACTCCCCAAAGCTGGTGCTACCAGGAGTCTAGCGGGTCCATCTGAACAAAAGGCTCTTACACTCAAACAGATATGTGTGTTTGCTATACCATATATTAGCAAGAGAAGATACGACCTCTCCTAGGAGGTGTGTGATTTATGCCAGAACACTCTGTAGAGGAGTGAACGCACTCCCCTCTTCATGCTACACAGAGTTGTTACAGACCTCCTAGGATGAGACATTCTTTCAATCTACAAATGATTATACACATCTAAGCATATGTGGGTAAATATTTCTAAGCATAAACGACAATCACCAATACAAAACCTAACAGTGTTAAAGTGGCTTCAGGTTAACAGAGGATGTGTTGTGAAGAATGTGCCTCAGGTTTGCAGCTCTAATTCATGAAAAGTCCACCTTTATCTCACCCTAGCACAAAAAGTACTGTATCTCTCACATGACTTTGTCTTGTTTTGCAGAGAGCGATTCAGCTGCAGTGCAGAGAACAGCTGACATCACTTATGGAGACATCACCATCAGGACAAACAGCAGACACAGAGGTACAGCTGCTCCTCTTCAAAGGTCCAACCCTAAATCAAATTTTAAAAAGTTTAAATCTCAGCCTGCAGCAGCAGACACTGGGAAAACCATATTGAAAACATTACAGCGCTTTGGTCTTTCTGCAGTGTAGCGAGACTAATGTGGTCATATGAAGGTGTTATCAGCTCCACAAGGAAGAGAAGTGTGTTACGGCCTAGCAGGGCCTCCTCCTGAAGGTGCCTGTGTGGGAGTGTCCTTCAATCACTTCTGCCTGAGGTGCCACCTTTCCCTTTTACACAGCTGACTCTCGTCAGTAATTAAAAGTATTTAATCCCAGGGAAAGGCGAGCTCTGGACCAGAGTGCCATGTGAGTGTTTGCAGCTAGTGAGCTGCTCTTTCTTTTTGGCTTACGTTTTACTTTATTGACCAACACCTGAGTTTTGTTGGTTTTCTTAAATGGTGACAGCGGCTTGTCCGTCTCTTTTAGTTGAGCTACTTTAATAAAACTCTTTAATGTAACCCTTATGTCTTCTTGTCTCCTTTTTCTGACCCGGACACTTTTTGTTATTTCCCCCTCACCGCCTAGACCCCTCAGGGGAACGTAACAAAGTGTTAACCTGCTCCTGCTCACATCAGTTTATCTAAACTTTCTGTAATCTGTGTGTTTGTGTTCAGATCTTCCACCAGAGCCAGCGGTCATCTACTCCTCACTGAAGCTGAGCTACACACCTTCACCACAGCTTAACCAGTCTAACCAGTGACGTCCAGCTGGCTGCCAAACACATCCCTGCACTCCTCTCTATATTATTTATTCAATCATATTCTGTGTGTGTTTACAGTTGTACAGCTGCACTGGAACAGTTTGAATGTAGAGCTCAGGATGAAATGGAAAGTTTATGTTTGTCTTTAATAAAAGATTTTAAAGCTAATCCAGTTTGGCGTCACACAGGAGATTCCTTCTAGAAGCAGATCCGATCACTCTGCAGCCATCATGAAATGCTGCACTGGTAAATATTTATGAAGCATTATCTGCACTGTCTTTTATTTGAATGGTCACCAGGACATAAACACTGCATGTACAGGATCAGCAGTCAAATCTGACATCAAGCATTTTTTAACGTTTGCTGACTTTGCTCCAAAATAAGGTTTTAAAAACCCTTTTTCACACATGGGATTTCAACCTCTGCAACCATCTTTACTGTTGCCGTCTGTCATAGATTTGAATTCAGGATTTTCTGAGTGCCACATGTCTCTCTTAGACTGACCCCCTCCTGCCAGTTAATATTATAGCAGCTAATCAGACCTGTGATGCAGAGGTGTTACAGTCACTTCAGGTTAAAGAGTGGATGAGCTGTGGCGTAATGTTTGCAGCTCTAATCTATAAAGCCCAACATTTCATCCTAAAACAAAAGTTTTGTATCAGTCACATGACGTGTTATGACTGAGATCCAGCTGCAGGTTATTCTTCAGTGCACAGAACAGTTAATAACTCCATCAGGACAAACTGCAGACACAGAGGTACAGCTGCTCCCTTTTTCACACTTACTGCAAAACAGCACACAGGACGACATCTTATGCAGAGGGTATCATCTGATAGATTGTATGGTGGTGTCAGGGAGAAGTTAGCTAAGCAACATGAGATGGTTGTGTGTGTGTGTGATGACTTTGGACAACAGCAGGAGGGAGCGAGCGAAAGCAAAGAGTAGAATTAAACGGCGGAAGCTGAAGTCGGCGGTTTGATTAAATTTGGTGTAAAATTTTGTGAAGTATTTGTGATTAATAATAAAAAAACTCAGAAATGATGCAGAGCTTTGAAGGGAACCACGACTGAATTTAATTTATTTATTATTTTCGCTGTCACAGACACAGAACGGTTGTTACAGTTACAAAAACATTAAGTGAAAGTTTACTCTTGATTTATTTATTCTATTGAGATCATGTAATTTAAAATGTAACATAAAACTGAGTAAAACCTATCAAATTGTTTCACATTTATGTATCATTCATGTATCAATTAAACAATTGCTGTTTATGATTGCAACCAAGGGTGGCACCGTCACCACAGTCTACAGGGAGAAGGTCCAGAGTCTGAATCCAGTTTGTGATTGTTCTTTGCATGTTCACGTTTCTGTGTGGCTTCTCTCCAGGTATAAATGAATAGTTATTTTTTTCTGTATGTTTGCGCTGTGACAGTCTGGGAAGCAGGAAAAGCTGTGATGAGAAGTAAAAAAATTTCTTTCTCATCACATAAAAAGAAAAAAAAGAAAACAAAATTATTGAGGGATTATTAAAAAAAAAATCAAACCATCAAATGCTTAGAAGCTTATGTGAGAACAGAACAGAACAAAATATGCAAAAAAAAAAAAACAAACCCTAGAATTAAATGAAATTTTTTTTTTTTTTAAAAACTGAATTTGTGGTATAAATACTTTCTCACAAAATTTTGCGAATATTGGGAGCACAATATGTGACCCTGACAAAACAAAACAAAACCAAAACAAAACAAGATTTTTAGGGATTCCTATGAAAACTTTATACTCACCATATAAACCCAACTAAAATGAAATTGCACAAAATTCACAAAATGCCACATAAGGTTGTTTATTATTTTTGTCACAACCCGGCTCATAGGAAGTGACAATCAAGAGGGAGACCACCCACAGGCTTTTAAAGGCTGTAAGACATATTTAATGAAAAAAGGGTAAAGCAACTTAAACCCACTTTAAAGACCATAACAGCCATAACTGAAACTTCCAACTTCCAAACTTCCAAAACTTAGGTTTTTCCGATACCGGTGCCAAACCGGTACTTTTGAAACGGTGCCGGTGCTCAAACGGTGCTCAAACCGGTGCTTAAAGAATGGAGAACACAAAATTGGTCCAAAAACCTCTCATGTTCAGCTGTTTTTTTGTAAAAAGATAACAATGTTAGCCTTTTCTGCAGCTATGGGGCATATATGGCATCACTCTTGGCTGGAAGCAGTGCTTAAACAATGGAAAAAAACACAAACTTTGTCCTAAACCTCTCATGTTTAACTGTTTTCCACTTTTTCTTTGGTCATTTTAGCCTTTTTGGCCAGGGTGAAGGGAGTATCTGCCATCACAGTTTGCATCTTTTGCTGTGAAGTACAGCCAGACTTTTGACCACTTCGCCTTGGGCATTTTTAATCTGTAGCTCTGCTCTAAAAGAAGGTACGTACCTGGGCCCGCCTACTATGCTTGCAAAGGTAAAATGATTGGCTAGAATTCAAAGTGCATGACATCTCAGGGAAAAAAAGCACTGAAATGTGCGCTGCTTTTCAGTCTGGTTACTACCATTTATGTCAGAACCGGTACCATAATGGCACCGGTTACTGGTACCCACCCCTAGTGTTTACACAGTAAGGGGGATGTACTACACCATGGTGCGTCACCTACACATTAGTACAGCAAGCTAAAATGCAGCACTAGCATGAGTTTTAATGATGGATGTTAAAATCGGCTTCCTGGATGCGTCCCGAGGTTGTGATGTTAAACTGCTGTGCATAGCAGCTTTATTAATCATCTTGCCAACAGGGTGTTTTAAGCTTTAGCCGTGATTAAAGGCTCAGAAAAGTGCAAAGCTGCACAACCTCAAATATTTACAACTTTATAGAATAGCAAGTCACAATCATTTAAGTGACTGAGCAAAGTTTTCTCATCAGCTGGCAAAAGTTCATTTGCGAACTGACACTTGTATAATTCATGTGTGGGTTTTCCTTTTGTTTTTTGCAGATGATTACTATAATTAGAATTACAATACACATCATAATTGGAACAGTAACTGTCACACCAAATATAAGTGGGAGAGACTTATTCATGTTGTTTCCATCCTCTTCTTCTCCACCCTTGATGTTTTCATCTGTGAACCAAGCAGGACAGAAACACCTGTGAGAACTCTGCTACTGATTGTACTGACAATACTTCTTGTTTTAAATTTTAAAACATATCTAACAGTCAGTAGACATGATGTCACTGCCAGCAGCTGATTGCTGATCATGTGACTGCAGATGCAATCACTGGAGAGCATCCATGTGATCATGTTTCACGCTATTTTCAGCCACTAACAGGAAGGGGGTGAAAAAACTTCAGTATTAGCTCACATTGAGTTTACTTTTATTCGCTTTCCAACTGCTGCATGTGTATCAAGTAAAACACCTTTCAAAATAAAAGAAGAGAAGTGAAACCCTTCCACAAACAGCTGTGCTCTAAAAGCTGTAAGTCGAACCTCTACAAACCCACCTGAGTCTGTGACTTTGAGGTTGATGGAGTGCACAACCTCATGAACTACTTTTCCCTTCATCCTGGTTGTAATCTCACAGCTGTATGTTCCTGTATCGTTGATGTTGACGTTCCTCAGAATCACAGAAACATCTCCATCTTTCATCGATCGATCTTTCAGTGCCACTCGGCCTCTAAAGGATTCATGCTGGTAGTTTTCATACAAACGATGGTTTTGGAAGAAGAACACATAACTCTCTGAGTTGAACTCAGGTTTGCTCCACTCTAACAGGGTGATATTTAAACCTCTGGGACCCTGACACTGGAGAGTGACATTTTGCCCAGATCTCACTTTGACCTCTGTGTGATCTAAACACAAAGAGAAAATAAAAAGAAAGCAAATATTAATAATGTGCTATACTGTCCATTTTGGACATCTTGAAATTATTTATTTATTTAGTTTTCTTATTAAACGTTTTAGCCCTTATGCCCTATTCTGGTAGTTTTGTACATTTATTCCAAACGTTAGTAAAATTTTTGAAATCCAGTGTCTTTTACTCTTACATGTTATCAACATATGAATTGATGTATTTTGCACCCTTTTGCCACCTTTGAGGCCAAAACGTGAAAGATCAGCAACAAAACTGATTCGATTGCATTACTTTTATGTGGTGCCAGATCCTCTCCCTCTCTCTTTGTGAGTGAGCTCATACATTCAAATAACTCGTTATAACTAAAATTGAAGAAAAATGATCAGAAAACGTCACACAAGATTTACTATAACACACACACTTTGTGGATGTCTTTGTTATCTGACTTCAGGGAGAAGTGACGAGAGAGAACCAGAGTACAACATGTTCCTGCTGCGACACCACTTCAGAAACCAACGATTAACCTGTAAAGTCTCGCTTTCATTCTGTGCACACAAGTCTTACTTTCTCTGCAGAGTGCAATTTTTCACCATGTTAGTATTAGTGATGGGTCCTGCAACACTGACGAACCGACGCATGTATCAAGCTCACCTAGCGAAGCCTGTATCGATGCGTGCGTCGCTTTAAGAAAAAGTCACGTGATCGACAGCCGCCGTATCACTCATTGCCAACGCGCCAAACTGTGTTTAAAAGGTACCGCATCCGTATCTGCCAACGGAATGAGTCGCCACCAAAAAAACCCCAAACAAACACAAAATTACTCTCGCAAAGATAAAATAAAAAAAAACATCTCTCCATATCAAAACGGAGCCCGAAAGAAAAAGAAATGTTTCTGCTGTGTGAGATCATTTTGATCTTTTAACTGCAAATAAGGTAACTGTTTGTTTCAGTGTAATCTATCAGAACAGGAAAAACAGCAATGTGACCTGCAGTGTAAATTATTTATATTCATTTTATGCAGGTTAAATGTCGCATCTGTTCTGCGTTTCTTACACAAACAAAAGCACCTCCTCGGTGTTTGGGCATCACAGAGCCAAACATGAAAATGAGGAGACAAATACACCGAGAATGAACACAGGTCGGCCTATATAGACACTGAACAGCTTCATCATCTTTTTTTTTTTATTAATACGTGTTTTATTATTTTGAAATCAAGCATCTAGGAAGACTGTTCTGGACCAGGCAGTCCTGAATTTTATTCTAAAGGACTGCCAACCCCTTAGTATTGTGGAGAGTGTCGGAGAGAAACATTCCAAGATCAGAGGATCATTTAACGTACTGGGGGAATAGGAAGACATCTTATCTGAACCTTTTCCACCTGGCTTTACAGCTTTTGTGTACCGCAGCTTTATCTGTGCCTGTGAGTTTTCCAAAACTGGGGAAATGGTGTACAAAAAAAACAAAACAAAAAAAAACGCAATAGCCTGAATGCAAAAACATTGGATTAACCTATTTTTCTGACTAGAAATTTATAATAAACTCTGAGTCAAATGGGTAATATTACATTCACAATACTTTCATTTTAATTTCCACTTAATGTCATTCACAATATATTTTAAAGATGTCTACAATATTTGCATTGTAAAACATATAAAATGATTCCATGGAAAGTACAAAATCTTATAGTGTATACAAGTATGAGTAGGTCATTCAATCAGAGTCTGTTGTGAGTCTCAAGTAAGTTGCCTGCAGTGATATTTAAGGTCCAGCAGGTGTCAGTATGGAGCAAAACAGCAGCACTGTGTCGACACAGTATCGATACAGTTTGGGGAATGTGCTGAAACGCTTAACGAGGCCTCACCGACCCATCACTATTTAGTATCAAATATCAAATATGATGACTTTAACCACCAACAATTCATGACAAATATATTAAAAATACTTTCTAAACTCTTAGCTTACATTTTACTCCATCTGTGGTGTCAAAACAAATGCACCAGCTGCTTCCGTTTTAACGTGCAACACAACTGCACTGCTGTTATTTATATTGTGGAAAGCCTGCCAGTTTATCTTAGCGCTAGTAATATGAAACGTACCTTCTAATGCAGAAGTCACAAAGAATGCACAGGAGAGAAAACCCACAAAAGACGACATTTCTGCAAGAAAATAAACGACGATTGAGCTGGGCAAGCCGTTAGTTTGTTTTGGTGCTTGTGTCGAGTAATGGAGGGCTTGCTTCATTTGTGGGAGGAGCTGAAAATGATGACGTCCGAAGCCTCGCTGCCTGGCTGTACCACGTGACTGGTTCATGAAGTGGTTCGAACTTTGCCGCGAGCTATGACAGCGATATAAACCCCTCAGACTTCAATCAAAATGTGGGTGTTTGATGGAGAGTTGCGGTTAGTGAGAGTTTGAAGGTTTATGAGAGTGAGGAGAGAAAGTCAGGAGAGAAGAATGGGGCCAGCTAAGAAGAGGAGGATGTCCTCCCCTGTGTGGGAACATTTTGATCTTATTCCTCCCAACAAGGTATGTAAATTTCTACAGAAGATGTATTTTCATAATATTGATGGTGCAATACAATTTATGTTAAGCGGTCTTTACTTTTGTACAATGTGAAGTGTTTGCTATGTGCCAGGGAGCTGGGATATAACAACACACCTCATCCATGCTTAGGCACTACAGAGCTTTGCATGAGAATAAGGAGGACACCGATTGTGGAGCAAGACCAGGTGAGCCATCAAATGTCATGATAATATAGCATGCAGTACTGTTACTAAATGATATAACAATATTATACAGCTGTAATAAGTTACGTGTGTGATATTTATATTTGTGCTTTGTCTTTATTGTCTTTCCTCAGGAGAACAATCTCAAATAGATGAAGACCTGGTTACCATGGTGATTGAGGACTCCCAGCCATTTAGCATTGTGGAGGACAAAGGATTTAAAAGATTTGTTAAATCATTAAATCCTAGCTATGTTCTCCCCACTAAAAAGGTCATAAAAGCAGTGAAAATTTAGTTTTTACAGAATAAAATGTGAACAGGCAGGACTCAGTCTGTAGCTACACTACACACTGCTTCACAGCCATGTCGTACTTTTAAACAAAAGTTTTTTTTCTTTCCTTTAGGCCCTGAAAGTCATGGTGGAGGCCAGGTACCAGGAGATGAAGGAGAAAACTAAGGCCAGCATTGAGAAGGCAGCAGCTGTGAGTCTGACATCAGATATGTGGACCTCCATCAACACAGAGGCCTATCTTGCAGTCACCTGCCATTTTGTTGATGAGTTCAGCACATTAAACACCGTTGTTTTAGGAGTGCAATATTTTCCTAATGCACACACTGCAGAAAACATTGCACAAGTGAAAGGCTCACTCATGGCAGAATGGGCAATTACTGACAAAGTCACATTCCTAGTAACAGATGGGGCTGCCAATATGGGGGCTTGTGCAAGGGAGCTACAACTCAAACATGCCATGGCTCACACCCTGAACTTAGTGGTGAAGAAGGCCCTTGACCAGACCCCTGAGGTCTCTGACATCCGAGCCAAGTCCAGGAAGATTGTGGGATATTTCAGGAGCAGTACCATTGCAAAGGTAAGTTCTTAAGTGGCCTAATTACAGTTTCTTTAATGCTACTTAAGTGTATAGTTCTGCTCCCTTGACAATCTAATGTATGCTTTTTTAAATTGTATTTTGTAAGGAGAGGCTTTCAGTGGTGCAGGAACAACTAAGGAAGCCTCAACTCAAACTAATACAGGAGGTGGAAACCCGCTGGAACAGCACTTATAATATGCTGCAAAGACTGTTCGAGCAAAGGGAGCCAGTGGGTGCTACTTTGGCAAGTCTCACAACAGACATCCCACCTGTTTCATCTGAGGAATTTGGTATAATTTCAGAGTGTCTGGTTGTCCTAGCACCATTTAACGATAACAACTGAGCTCTCTCAGGAAAAAAGGGTGTCTGGGTCAAAGGTCATACCTTTGCTCACTATGCTGGATCATTGCCTCAATGAACAAATGGAAAAATCCCCATCCATTGGGTCTTCTCTGGCTCAGAAGCTGAGGATGCTATTGAGAGAGAAGCTGGATAAAATACAAACCATGAGCATTATGTTCCTTGTGACACTGCTGGACCCAAGGTTCAGGAAACTCGGGTTTCTCAGCCCTGCAAGAGCTAGCGGAGCAGAAAAAAGACTGAAAGCAGAATGTGCTTCAATACTGAGGGTCTCCACCACCTCCTCTTCCTCCGCACCACCACCACAGCCATCAACGTCACAAACTGTTGAGGCTGTTTCCCACGGTACTATTGTTATTGCATTTGAGTTGCATTTATATAAACTGATTGTTGGGATGTCCTCTGTATCTATTGTACGATCTACTGTACAATATAAAGCGCCTTGAGGTGACTGTTGTTGTTATTTGGCACTATATAAATAACATTAAATTGAAATTGAATTGTTAGTATCACATAAAACTCCCCTTATTTTGTAGGTAACAACCTGTGGCATCGCCTGGATGAAAGTGTCAGGCAGACACAGACACAAAATGTGACAGCAGACGCGAATATTGAGGTCCAACGGTACATGATGGAGCCAAATATTGGAAGGCTGGAGGACCCCCTTAAATACTGGGAGAGACGAAAATATATCTATCCTCACTTATATAAGTTAGCACTGACATTCCTGTGTACCCCTGCCTCATCTGTGCCCTGTGAGTGAGTGTTTTCAGGGGGAATATTGTCCAAAAAAAGAAATCGCCTATGACCTGCCACAGTGGAGAAACTGTTGTTTTTAAATAAATAAAAAACACCACTTCGCGCATGCAGGACTTTAATTGCGAAGCTATGCTTGGGTAGCGAAAATGAGCTGCAAAAAGAAAAGATATTAATTGCTGCATTCCAGGCTGAATGGTAGTCTCCTTAGCTGATGCATCACATAAACTTTACCAATATATATAT